GTAGGGAAAAGGCCAGGAGCCTGCATATTTGAATAAAATGGATTTGCTGAAGCCATGTAGGCTGCCGCATTAGCATAAAGCGGAGGTGTGAACCCTGACGAGTGTAGTACAGGCTGTACCTCAGCTGAGAACTTAGAGGGGCCGTGGAGAAATTGATCCACACCGGCATATGTGGAGTTAACTCCTTGGTTAGCTACTTGAGATTTGGCACTTTGGGTTTGACCTAAATTGCTTTGTTGTTGGTGTATCTTGTTTTGCACAAAATTATTCTGGCATTTGTGCTGCCATTGTTCTTGATTTACTTGATTCCCAGAATTTCGAAGGTTAGAGATATTAAGAGCCTTCATTTCAGAAGCAATGACATTAATTCTTGAGTCATTACCACTCATGCTTCTAGTACAATCAAGAGACGATGAACTGGGACCAGGAGCAGATGAGAGATCGACATTTGATGATGCTGCATCATCCATTCCCATATTGGACATAATATTATTGGGTGTGTTAATAGGAGAATCATACAAGGAGCTGGAACCAGTATCATGATCAGCAGATTCCTCAGCTATTTCGTCGCTTAAAACATGACGTTGATTATATACAGGCGATGGGGAGCCACGAAAATCTTCCTAAAAAAATTGCAATAAAAAAATAAATAAGTCTTCATTTATGGCCAACCAACTTGATCAAACCCTAAAGTAAATAAAGCCAACTAACTATAGGTTTGATCCACAAAAAGAACTTGTATTGTTGCATCATGGTAGTAAACATATAAATTATAATCATCTTGAAAGTTGCTCCGAAAAAGAAGAGGGGATTTATTTGTACGACTTCAATTTATAAAACTTCATAAAATAAATAAATAAATATAGGAGTGAACATATTACCATGAACAAAATGTCTAATCAAAATCTTTACCCGTAATAAGTCAGCAGCAACTTTGTGTTGGTCTGCTGATGTATTGTTGTCCTCTCCAGACCAAATTTCACTTGTCCCATCTACCCAACTGTTAGAAGGCTGCTGGGATGACTGCTCATCTTCGGATTCTTCCTTGTGTGTAGGAAGGGATCCTTGAGAAAAGTGCAAGGAAACATTACCACTGTCGTCTACAGAAGTCAATCCCCAATTATTCCCAAAACTACCAATATGGCGTACTAACCGGCGATTCTCCCATGAAATAAGTGGGGGAGGAAGTCTAGGGTTCAGATTCACATTGGAGCAGTAATAGGACAAATAAGCTGGATCAGCACGCATTTGTTCCTCAGACTCATAATTCCCAATAGCAATATTAAGAGTTTCCAAGCTTTCACTTGCTTCGGCATTCTGCTGGGACAATAGATTATCAATGGCCAAAAACGAACCCTCCATGCTAGGGGGCGCGCTCCCGCTTCGGTTAGGAGCGACATCCTTTCCGCTGCCAGTAAAGCTGTGGCCTTTCAGTAGTAGTTTCAATTCCTCTGCTGCCATACTAGCAGATGATGGAACAAAGGTTGAGGCCTTCTTATGGGATGCCCACTTCCCACTAGTTTCTGGCATTCTAATTGGACTTTCGGTTGCCATTATATCAGGAAATCAGTGTCCTCCTCGTGTTTTCTGGTTGTGGATAAAAACGTCACATAATAACCTAGAAAAACAGCCAAAAAGCAGAACACATGTTCAATCACTATGTACTGAGGACTTGCAAGTCTACATAAGAGAATACATTAAAGACATAATTGGGGGGGGGGGGAATTAAACACCAATCATAAATTGGTCTACTTTAAACCGTATGCTGAGTCTAGAAAAGCAGAGGCAGTAAAAGAAAAAATAGGGTATAAAAAAAATCCTTAGAATAAAATTTGCATTGCACGGACAGGCTGTACAACAAAAAATGATCCTACAAAGCTATATTCAGCTTCATAAATGGGCAGAAATGACGACAAAAGGAGAAACTAATTCATAACTGTAAAGAGCACAAAAATCCCGACTTGAAAAGAGAAATATTAAAAAAAAAAAAACCTTCATTTACCAAAATTTGCAAGAGACTAACCGTAAAAGTAGGGCCAAAATTTGGAAGTCAACTCTTTGGTAAGTAAGCTAGGGGGAAAAAAAAAAGAACTTTCCATTTAATCAAGCAAAAACGACTTCGTCAGGTATGGAGAAAAGCTCAAACAACATACACAACACAAAATCCGCTCATTTTTCCTTCCTTAGCAACCAAATAAACAAAAAGACAGAAACTTTATGAGATAATTTATAGCTACACAAAACACAAACTATCTCAAGAACAGTATGAAAAGAACAATTACACAAATTTCGCACATTTACACAAATTTCGCACATTTATATAGCTAAAACCATGAAAATATCACTTTCCATACTCAGGAAATCAGCAATTCAAGCTCAGAAAAATGGAAAGAGAAAAAAAAAAGTAGCGAAGAAAAACAAAAGACAAAACCCTAGAAGGACTTTCTCTACAACAACAAACGAAGTCTGGAGGAAAAATGTTTGAGGAGAAATTGCTTACCAGAAGCAGTGGAGCTCAATAGCGAAGAAGATTCACTGTTCGGAACAAACCCTAGATTCTTTCTTTCTAGAGAGAGAAAAAGAGAGGTTAGAGAGAAGGGATTTCTAAAAAATGAAATTTTTGGCTTCAAGCAGAGGATATTTAAAGCTCTGTTTGCTCCGAGGAGAAAAAGAACTATTTCCAGATAACGTTTTTGCTAACTTTCAGTTCCAAGTATTTTATTTGGAGTTTTGCAAGTTTTTCTTTTTTCCTTTTTTTTTTCTTTTTTTTTTTTGGAATATTATAGTATAGATAAAATATTAGGGCTTTGAATTTGAGTTTCACTCGAGTTTTAATTTAAATTTATAGTTAAAACTTGAGTTTAAGTTATCTTTTCAACTCAAATTTTTAAATTCAAACTCAAGTTAATGAACAATATTTTTTATATTCTTAAAAACATCATAATTTTTTCGCTTTAATTTCGATTGAGATGATTTTTTTATGCGTTTACAACGAAAAGACGAATAAAACCACATCCATATATTCTATTAAAATTTTCAATCACCATTGAATTTTTATTAAAATATTATCTAAATACAAATACAAATTTTGACTTACCCAAACACAAATCCAAATAGATTCTCAATTCAAACCATAACTCAAATGTGCACATCCAAACATAAACTCAAGTTACAACTCCAACTCAAGTTATAACTCAAATTCAACTCAAGATCTATATTTAAGTCATCATAACTTAAAAATGTAACCGAACGAGCTCTTAAAAAACAAAAGAACACATTATCCGTATTGTGTAATTTCAGACTATCATATAAAAATAAATAAAAAAAGATTTAAGAAAAATTTGAGAATCTACTAAATGTACATGCTAATGCCAAATTTAACACAAAAGGCTAAAATGTTATATTTAGATCACTTATAATGCAATGTTATAATTAATGAACTAATTTTAAATTTAATATTTGAGTGTAAAAAATACACTCTAATACAATACTATTTGTTGTGTTAAATTTTACATATACTATATCTTATGACAAATTTCCCACCAAGTATTGTATATGAAAAATTTAATATTTAATTGATATTGGTTAAAATGTTTATTTTTTATGTAATGATTGCACCTTTTTTTTGCATTTTCAAATTATTTTAAAAATAAATGTCTACTTTTACAACTCTCTAAGGGCCCATTTAGTTAGCTGATTCGAGTTTTTAATTCAAATTGAGATGTGACTTTATGTGAGAGCTTTTTACTGTAGTAAAAAAGTTAGATGTAATTGTTTCTGAGAGCTTTTTACTGTAACAAAACTCAAATTCTAAACTCGAATTAGTGAAATAAACGGGGCCTAAGTTTAATGATTATAAAAATAAATAAATTTAGTATTTTAAATAGCATATGCATTAGAGTAAAAATATAAATAACATATTATATCTTACTTTTTTATGCTAAATATATAATTAATATTAACATTTACATTAGAAATAGTCTTAAGACGATTATTATGTTATATTCCAATCTACTAATATCATTCTCAATACCATATTTGAAATATATATTTCTTACAAATTTAAAAATTATTTTGTACCAAATGTGGACGCTATTTTATCTTTGGTATTTTAAAATAATTAACTGTTGAGAAATTGACTAATGATTCTCAATTTTCTTAAAGTGCGAATCTGATAAAATGTTTAAACTCAACTTACTGCACTCTTAATTCGACTTCAATTCATGATTATGATTTTGTTCTCTTATAAAAAAATATAAATTATAAAAGTTCTCATCAGTGAACTTTCTTATAAAATTTAAATTTAAAATCAAAATTACTGACTTAAACCTATGTATAAACACACCTTGAAAGATTAGATATAGTATTAATTAAATATAACAAACAAAATAGTTCATTTTTACAAAAATATTGAATTTTAAAATGAATGCTAATTTGATATTTTATTGAAGTAGATGCTCTAAACTCTATAGTAAAAATAAAAAAATTAAAAAAAAAATCGACATTTTTTTTTTTTCACTTTTGTCCTTTTTATGAAGCCGTGGATTGGTGTGTTGAGAGTGGACAAAGAATAGTCTCCAAGTGGGCACGAGGAAAACTGTTCATTAAATAGTTGTTGACCTTTCGAGCAAACACGTATCAGTTTGACACGTGTATGTCTTATGGTCTAATTATTTGGTTAAACAACTTTGAATATTATATTAGATATATTTAATTCATCAAAAACTTTTGTATATTATATTTCAGATATGCTCGAGAGGATTTATTTTAGTCAGCCGCAAATTACTCGCGTGTTTCTTGACTTATTTTTGAGTGAAAGCAATTAAGAGCTCGTTTAGTTTATTAATTTAAGTTAAGATGTAATTTTATATGAGAGTTTTTATTATAAAAAAAGTTAAATATAACTGTTTATGAAAATTTTTTACTGTAATAAAACTCAAATCAGTAAAAAAAACAGATAAATAAAGGTAATATATTAGCATAACAAGAAGGATTATTTTCATAATTATCCTCCAAACTATGTGTTATTGCCACCGATTTTGCAAAATCATTCGAAACACCATCTAATGTGTAAAAAATCGTTCAAAACACCTCATTTGTCTATTTTCATATATATGTTAACGGATTTACTGAGGCGGCATATTATCAGAATACACAATAAAAAAATCAAGGAACACATTGAAAATTGGTCAACAAATAAGGAGGTATTTATGAATTGAATCCTTACAATTATGAAAAATAATTATTAAACAATATTAATATGATTATGACATATTTCTCAATTATAATTAACAAAAAATTCAATCTTTAACTTTAATTGCATTAAATTAAGATGTTTCTGTCGAAAATTTATATATTGAAAATAATTTCAATTTAAATCTAATATTTGTAAAATATTTATTCTAAAATTTAATTATTATGAAATTAAAATTATAAGCGTCATTGAAAATGCCCAATATTCAATAAATGATAGCAATTCATCATCACCACCTGATCTTCCAAGCAGCCCAAATAATTTCAAAATACTATATCCAAGATGTTGTTTTCCGAAAATGACCTCAACCTAATAGATTGACGACGACAATACAATCACAACGATGACCCGCTCCATGGGGACAAAACAATATCTTGGATGCAATTGTTTGAGATTTATTTAGGCCCCGTTTACTTCACTGATTCGAGTTTAAAATTTAAGTTTTTCTACAGTAAAAAGCTCTAACAAACAATCACATCTAACTTTTTTGCTACAGTAAAAAGCTCTTACATAAAATCACATCTCAACTCAAATTCTAAATTCGAATTAGTGAAGTGAACGGGGTCTTAGATGGCTCGGAAGATCAAGTGGTGATGACTCTGCCTCGTTTACTTTACGGATTTGAGTTTTTAATTTGAGTTGAGATGTGATATTTTCTGAGAGTTTTTCACTGTAACAGAAGAAGTTAGATGTGACATTTTCTAAGAACTTTTTACTGTAAAAATCTAAAACTGAAAACTCGAATCGGTGAAATAAACGAGGCCTTTGGGCAATTTCAAATAGGCATTTATAATATGGATTTTATAGTAATTTAGTTTTAGAATAAAGATATCATAAAAATTCAATGTAAGTTTGAGTGAACCTTCGATAAATAGTTTTTGGCCAAAAGCATGTTAATTTTAGGGTAATTTAAAAATAAAAAATTGAATTTTTTTTGTTAATTATAGTTGAGAAATATGTCATAATCGTATTATATTTTTTAATAATTATTTTTTATATTTAAATGATTCATTTCATAAATACTTCTAATTTATTCCCTTGATGTTTTTAAGTGTGTCCGTTTTTAAGTGTGCCCCTGATAGCATACCATGTTATTAAAATTTATTAGATACGTGATGTGATTTTTCGCAAGCGCACAAATCACAAAAATAATATAGTAGAAAATAAAGTATCACTCTCTCGAAAACTAGTTTAATAATTACTGAAATTATAATTTTTTTAATGTTATTTAGACAATTAATACTTTGATATATTTTGAAATTAAAAGATGGAATAAATAAAATGACACGAAAAAGATGCAAAATAGTTTTGAAGAGAAATTCAATAATAAAAGAACACTAGAGCATACAAGGCAATTCCTATTCAATTCCAGTTATACACTAACATCGTCTTACATCATGCAGTAGAACGAAAAACCCTAGTGTATCTAATAGTCCTTTTGAGGATGCTATTAAACATATTCCTAACATGTTCACTATCGCTAGATGTGAACTCCAACATCCTAAAAATTCATCAAGCTCTCTAGTTTTTCCAAATTATTCTCGCAAGTCGTATTATTTTTTCTCGATGTCCTACGCACCTTACGGTTTCTTTTATGAGAAGTTATTTTTAAAAATCTCCTTCAGAGGTTTCAATTTAGGTCTTCAATTCAATTCAATAATTGATTAGGTTATTGAAAGCATTAAGAACAATAAAAGAAGTACTTACATGAATGAAAAACTCTTAGTGAATAAACTTCATTGAAAGAAAATAACTAAAATCAAACATTCATGTCTTAGCTACACTTGTAGCCCTAGTCAAGAAATTTAGAACATAATTGAAATTAAAAACATGCTAACAATAATATTCAACATAAGAAATTAAGCAAAGGAGAAAATTGTTTGTCGAATTTGAAGTTGAACTCCGTTCTTGAACAAATCTTCTTCTCCTTCGTCAAGTTGTAATCTCTCCTTCTTTTCCTAGCCAAAAGATGTAGAAAATAACACTAAAAATCCTATTTATAGTGAATAGAATCGTAATAGCATTTTTGTAAATTTTTAGAACTCAAATAAGTTCAAGTCAGTAAGAGTCTCGAAATAGCGTCGCGGCCCTGTTGTTAGGCGCTGCAACGCCATGTAGAAATGTTGCGCAGGGGTTGCAGTGCTTCGAAGTGGCACCACGACACTGACCTTGATGAGCACCATGGTGCAGACCTTGATGAGCGCCGTGGAATTGATCTTTTCCTAGTATGTTTTCTTATTTTCTTCACGATAACCTTCCTAGTCGTTTCTCTCTTTTGCTCTTCCCTTTCTCCTCTTCACAGGAACTAACCTAGTTGTCGCCGACACCATTGATGAATGCCTATTGAGGAGATTGGTGCCATCATTCATCTTTGATCTACAACCCATGGCGAATCCATGGTGCATTCACTTTGCTGATCTACAACCCACCTAGTTGTGAAGGTCTAGATCTGAGTAAGCAAATGGCCGTCGCTGTAGATCCATATCTAATACCCATGCTAATACTGATGTCACAATGCTAGCACAAGCATGGCAAAGGTGACCAGTGACGACGCTTCCATGCCAGCACTAGTACGATGAAGACTTTCTTCCTCATCGTCATTGCCTTCGAAGCTTCAGTATTGTCAGATTTTATCTCACATGAGTGACGCCGGTGAAGATTGACAGCTGAAAATTTTTCTCCTTTTCATTCAAAATTTTTTGAATTGATTTTTTTGATTTTGTGAGTTTTTTGTGCTGTATTATCTGTGATTTTAGTGATTTTTCTCAATCTAAATATTCCAGCAGCAAACGTGTCTAAACTGCCACCAATTTTGATGGTTGTCGATTGGTATCGAGCCTAGGTGCCGGTATCATGGTTAGATACCAGCCAGTATCTCAGTTGAATACCAGATGACGCGCTATTATGGTGAAAAGATTCGGCTATCGTCGCCTCTTAATTTGTGTCACGCCACGTTAATCCATAACACTGCACCGCCGGCATCAGAGGTCCGCAAGAGATCTCTTTTTTTGTTTCCCGATCTGCTTGTGTTTGTTTTTTGTATTCTAATGATTGTGATGGCTAGATTATCGTCAATACTGATGGGTATCTCGGCGAGATACTGGTATTGTGGTAAGATACCAATCAATATCTCAGTCGGATACTAGTATCATGGCTTGAGATCTACTGATATCCAAAGGGTAAATTTAGTATTTCAAATATAGTTGATAACGTGACTGTGATATTATTTGTAATAGTTTATGTCTCTCAGTATATGTCAATCCAAGTCTAAAACTTGTGGTGTTTGTGTAAAGTGCCACTCTTCAAGTGATTCATGCTCAAAAATCACATCAAGCCCAACCTATTTAATAAATATGCTAGATCTGGCTCACTTCTTCTCATACTGTATATGTGCTAACTCGTTAGGTCCAATCCGTTTTGACATCTATAATACACATTCAAAATTTAAGGCCGATTTTGAATTAACCAAAGAGAAAATTATAGATTCTATCTCTTTAAATACTTGACTTACTGAAAGTACCATTTTTAAAAAATTATATCACTTGACTAGTTTTAATTTAAAAACTAAAAATGTATGAGCAGTTGTTAAGGAATATGAATAAAAAGAGGCAGTGATATTTTTAAAAATTACCCTTAACCAAATGTATAACACATTTCGCTTCAATCCATAGTATACGATTAACATAAACAATTTAGGCGTTAATTTTTTCAATTCATTTATCATAGTATGAAATTTAGCTACAAACCCTGTATCGTATTTTATTTAAAGTAAACTATTTTTTTAAAAAGAATTTATACATATTCTCAAAAAAGAAAAAAGAAAAAAGAATTTATACATTTTTCAATAAAAAAGTTTACTTTGTCTAAGAAATGTGTAATAACCCGAGCCACTTTTGTTTTATTCGTCCGTTCGGATCCGGAGAATACAATCGGATCTCACCGACCCGTTGACGAAAACCGGAAACACCCAAAACCCACAAGAAATCCCTCCCGTCTTTTTTCTTCTTCTTGTTCTTCTGTTCTTCCCAAATCAGCAGAGCAAAACGCCATTTCCGAAGCTTTTTTACACAAAACCCTAAAAGGGGCTTTCATGGTTTTTTCACTTCTGCGTTCTCTGCAGAAACCGAGTTGAGCTTCGAAGAGCAACAATGGAGGGCGAGAGAGCGAGAGAGAGTTATACTCTGGTGGTGAGAAGGCCCTGCTATGGCCTCCCCACGGCTTGCCCCGAATGCTTGCCTCTTTACTTGTACCTCCGATTCGCCAATGTTCCTTTTCACTTGGATTTCAATCTTGTTTATCCAGATTCTGGTAAAATACTAAAACATTGAATCTTCGTTTCTTTATATATGTATGTGTGTGTGTTTTCGGAATTTAATGCTGTTTCTCTGTTTTTCATGTTTGGATTTTTGTTGGTAAATTTTTGTTGAACTCAAATTGACATGTTGAATTTTGTGAATGCAATCATGTTCTTTCTTTTCTTTTAATTCTCTTGGATATAATTTTGGTTAATTTGGAAGAAACGAATAGAAATATTGAATTTTTTGTATGATTGCACTTGGGATGTTATCAATCTAACCTAGCTTGTTGAACTTGGAATAGTGATAATTGGTTTCACAATGATATATATATATATATATATATGTATATATTTGCTTGAAGTTTCACAATGATATTTACTTTAGAAAAGAGATCTTGGTTAAAAATTGTGTCTCCATGATCAATTTGTGTTACTCTACTAAAGAACTACTTGAATTTATTATCTTATGAACATGGAATGGCAAATGTTTGCACATGGTTATGAGTTATAAACACAAAGCTGGGAAAAATTGGGAAAAGTTTTTTGTTTGTGTGATGAAAAAGGTGACTTCCTTCAATGCCTCTAATGAAAGTGCACTCTAGGATTTATCCAATTCCGTTGTGTGAATCTTCTTTCCCTTTTGTAAAGTTTTTTGGGCGTAGAGGTTGTAAAACATGTCATGGAGAAGCTTTTATGGAGAACTCGAGAATATGGATATTTTGCACACTTGACTTGATTCTATTGTTCTCTATATGTTTAGCATAAAGTTTTTTCTTTGTTGATGGAATGTGTGTAGATGATCATAATTATAAAAGAAAAAAGGTATATAGATAAGAATATTGATCACTAATATTTGGATTTGTTTCTCTGTTAGATCAAATTCCTTACATTGAGTCTGGTGATTATGTGGCCTACAATAATGAGAAGGGTGGAGTCATTGAGAGAATTAAAAATGATGGAATTATTGATTTGGATAATGAGCTCTACTCAGTTCCAGATTGGATATCTACAAAGGCGATGCTCACCTCCTGGCTTGCTGATGCAATTAAGTATGAACTCTGGGTGGCAAGTGATGGTAGTTCTGCTCAAAAGATATATTGTTCTGATCTCCCATGGCCAATAGGAAAGGTCCTCTTCTTGAAGCAAGCTTATAATGTAAAGCAGCAGCTTGGAATTTGTAAAGACAATGCTGAGCAAAAGGAAGAAGAGGTCTCATCTTTTCCAATTATCCTCTTATTTTACTTATTTTTGCTCCCTGTATCTCTCTCGTGCTCTCTCTCTCTCTCTCTCTCTCTCTCTATAGACACACACGTGTGTCTATATCTATCTCTATGTATGTATGTATGTATCAGAGGAAAAAAAAAAAAAACCTCTCCACTTATTTGCAAGTATTTAGTGGCACGCACAAGAGGGATGATAGTAAATTTTTCTCCTTTTGTTATATGTTTGACATAATGTATAAATTTCTTGTCTTTTACCACTGTTATAATAGACATTTTATTGATGGGCAGATTTACAGGAAAGCAAGCATTGCATATGGAGCTTTGTCAACTAAGCTAGGAGATCAGAACTTTTTGTTTGAGAACAGGTGTTGTTCTGGATATACTCCCTTTCGTTTTCAATGAAGTGAAAAGAGTCTCACCTTTACACCTGCAATGGTTTTCTGTGCAGGCCATCAAGTTTGGACGCTATCGTTCTGGGGCAGGCACTCATCACTATTCACGCATTACCAGTGAGTCATTTTAAGTTTAATTGTTAATTAACTTGTTAGTTGTTAAATTATGCAACTTGTTTTTGCTCTTGGACTTGGATTCAAATATAATATGCAGTTGAGCTGAAAAGTTTGTGTCGTTTTTGTTAGTCAGTTACTACGGGAAATTAACTTCTGCCCTTGAAACACTTCAAAAAAATGCAATTGTTTGTGGGTCAGAATTCTATTGAATAAAAAGGCCCAAGGACAAATCTCTCGTATACAATCTATACACCGCATTTTAAAGATTTATTTCCGTCACGGTACTATTTGTGTATGTTCGAATTCTTTTAGGGTGAATTATACTTCCACGGGATTATATATGTTGAAAAATGCATGCCCTCCTATAATTTCCTCTTTCTTTCTCTTTTTTTTTTTGAGTTTTTTTTTTTTTTGATTTGAAAACTAAAATATTAGGTCTCAGTAATTATGACAGTGACTTTTATCTGCTAATATTAAGAATGACTTGCGTAATTAGATTGTTGGTGGCAACGCAGTAGCAGAGACCTATATGGTTCACTCAATGATGTAGTCCTTTTTGGATTTCTCTTTTCTTTGTTGTACTGGAAAAACGAGCCTGGTTATTCTTGTTGTAAGCTTCAAAATTTTCTCGTACTTTTCTCTTACTTTTGGTTTCTCCTTGTTTCCTTTTCTTCCTATTTAGACGTGGCATGCGTTGTGGGAAAATATTAACTCAAAATGGATCTTTTCTATGAGGTCTCATCATTTATTTTTTTTTGCAACCACGAATAGCTATTACTTCATTGTTGCATGTTGGTCCATTGGAAAATGTTTGTATATTCAAACATCATTTTTGTTTTATTTCTTGAATCTATCTAAGATATTGGGCAAATTTGTGGACTAAAAATATTTCAGCATTGATTTTAGGAAATCTTCTAACCATCCATGCTCTATGTACTTTTAGGAGACTTCGGTGCTGCGGAGCAAACTCTTAGAACATGATAACCTTGTAAGATATGCTGAAAGGATTAAGACAGAGTTTGTGGATACTGGCCCTTCTATTTCAGTCCCACATTTACATGCAGAGTCATCATCATCAACATCAAGAAAAGGTCAAAGTCAGAGTAAGATGCTTCAACTTTTTTATTTCTTAATTTATGCATATATAGTTTAAGGATCAAATTCTACATCTATGACGACCTTGATTGCCTTACTAAGTCTTCTTTGAGATTGGGTATTGATCAGAAGACTTTCTTTTCCAAGTCAGAATACTTTCAAAGACTGTGTATCGCTCGATGTTCTTATTTTGATTTTTTTGGGTGCTGTTTTAATTTTTGTGCAAGTGAAAACTTATTCTCTCTTTTGTTATGCTTAACATTTGGCTCTGCTGTATCCTAGCACCTCATAACTATTTTGGAGTATCCAAAAATTTGGATATTTCTTCTAAAAATTGAAACCTGTTGTGGAAGATTTGTAACCTTTCTATGTTGTTGCATCACCACATTTGGTGTCTATAAACTTATTTCATGCATTTTTGGTTTTGGTCATTCTCATTCGTATTCACCGTGATCTAATTTGTTTTAGGGTCAAAGCCCAAAAGCAAACCCAAAAGAGAAAAAACCCAGGAAGAGATAACTTTTAGAAGAAGAGCCAAATACTTTCTGGCGACACAGCTGGTTGCAGTTTTGCTTTTCCTTACTCTTATGGGAAGACCCGAGGATGCCGATATTGAGCTTGATGATGATGATGAAGGCTTTATGAATGACTGAGAAGCAATCACATCAACTCTATTGGCACTCTCATTCCTGCATGTTGTTTGATTAAACCAGCCAAGGTTAGCGGCAGCCTGATGAGTGTTGTTACTCCATCTGTTTGTTAATTTTTGTAACGCAAATCAAAATTTTGCAAATTTTGAAAATCTTAGGAAATAAAAAGGTTCACATGAATTTGATTTGTACAATTCATCAAGCTACATTTTTGGTGGCTACATTTTTGGTGGCTCAGAGATGTTCTTAATTCATCAGATTTTGATGTACACTTCTTACAGTTTGTATTTTCGTTGTCCGCAAAATCTTTCTTTGGTTACAACCTTATTTCTCTGGGATTGTCTCAAATTGTCAAATGTGTGTAATGCAAATGAAAATTTTGGAAAGTTCTAGGAAATAAAAAAGTTCTCGTGAAGCGACAAGACTTGTGCAATACATCAAGCTACATTTTTGGTTGCTCAGAAAAGATGTTCTTAATTAATTCATCAGATTCCGATGTTTAATTTTTGAAGCAATTCTTGCAGTTCTTACAGAAAACGAATACTATGATGTATTCATGCTTCTGTTCAATCTGTGCTACATAGATAAATATGAGATGAACGTCTGAAACTTTTCAAGTGAGACCCTTTTTCCTTGTTCTTTTGATATCCCAGAAACCCTCCATACTCTAAACCTGCCATGCAGGTTTGAGTTTGATACTGGAGCTCCCACCGTATCCGAAAGCATGAAACCGGAGGTTATTCACTAAATGGCCACGAAAAAACGAACCCCGAGTCACCTAGGAGTCCCAGTCAGACCTTTAACATTTTTAAGTTTGCCGCAGTCCGCAGCAACTTGCAGATACTGATTTCTACTCTCTCTGGGGAGGCCAAATAGTGATGATAAATCTCCACTTCTTGGAAGCTTGACTTCATTGACATGTTATAGCTTGTGTCCCAAACCACTAGAGTATGTGATTGAATTGTCACTGATTTTCATGTTTACTGATGGAATGAAATTGCTCGTATATCTTACATTCGAGATGGATTGATGTCTAAATTTGCAATGAAATTCATCTTAGTCCCAGTGCAAACAAGTACAATATCCCCAATATCCCCATTAGTTAATCGCTACAAGTCCTCGTGTAGCAGCTTTGGAGCAATTGGACTTTTGAAATGAAAATGATTCTAATCATGATAGGATTGCAGCAAGAGTTGCCTTTACACTCTGGATTTTCACGGTGTGAAACCATTTTCCTACATCAGAAAGTTTTTTTTTTTTTTTTACTTTGTTTCCATGCTTCTTTCTACCACTTCTCTATCCTTTTTCTTTTTGAATATATGGAAACTATCTAGCCATTTTCCACTTGCGTCAAAGTAAACATTAAAGTTAGGGACCAAAAAACTCTATGCTACCTTCTTTGTAAATAAGTTAAACTCTTGTGTAATTACATTGACACCCCATTTCTAAACTACTCCAGATGAAGTGTAAAAGACTACACCCCAGCCGTTGCCCCAGCCCCGCCCGAGTCGCTTGGCCACTTGGCGCTTTCCCATTGGCTAACAAGCTCCGCGTACCCCTTGGCAGAACTAAGAGAAAACTCAGTCAGTGAGCTCATGGCAACTGACATTCCGGCACAAAGCACCCGTATGGCAACCTCAGCCATTTTCTCCGCGGTCATGACATCTTCCACTTCTCTTCCAACCTCCACAACTTCCATGCCATTCCCTCTGTCTTCCTCAACCATTCCTACAGTAAATCTTTTGGAGTCTTCTCTCTGCTGCTGTGCATAGAGTGACCCCATCCCAGCTGCAAAGAAGTCCAACCCGTCTAGCACGGGTACTTCCCTCATTGCGTCTAGGGACCTAGACCACTGTATGCAGAGCCCAAATATGGGAAGCGCACCAGATGACCTCTGGGGGGAGAATGGAAGCTTGGAGACGTCTGGGTCAGACCGGACACACCGGAGGAGCCAGCCTGAGAGTGCGTGGACATAGGATCGTTGAGAAGCGATCCATGTCTCAAAGCAAGCTTTCCAGTTCCTGAGCTCGGACTCGAGATTGGCAGCTGAACGGGCCACCCTTTGTGGCTCAGACACCGACATGAAAGAGTGCTTCCTTGCATCGAGTTTTGATGGTGTGCCTGCTAGTAAAAGTTTGGCCTCGTCTAATGTCCGCTTCTGTGACTGATGACACTCCGCCATTACTTTCCACATTCTTGATAACCTGAAGTTGATGATCAATGGAAGAACAAGTTAAAACATAAATTACTTATCAAAGACTTGAAAAGAGATCTTGCTAGAGATGCGAAGAGGCTAAAAGCCTCACTAAGTGGGAAAAAAAAGGTGCCATAAAATCAATAACTGCATTGTTAGAACATTTTAATACTAGGGATTAAAAAACTGGTTTAGATTGGAGAGGTGAAAAGTGTATCAAAGAAGTTGTGGACTGAGAGGTCCCTTTATATGAAATCATGACTAGTTCTAGCAAGTGGCCATCCCAAATGAAATTCTTTGCCTGAAAGATTTTAGTAATTTCTATATGCATATGTATAAAAGAAATGATATCATGTGGAAGTGAATGACATACCCTTTTACCAATTCTAAAAGTTGAGGCTGCAACTCCTCATCTCTCAAAGTCTCGATCCTCTTCGAAATGGCTTCAACCGAGTGTATCGAAACCTTTATCTGAGTATGCAGATCTCGTATGGCTGCCCTCGTTTTCTCCACAGAAGAAGGGTCATCTCCCTTCACATCATGGTTCCTCAGTTGCATACATTTTTTCTCATACGCGATTCTAACCCTTTCGCCGGACTGTAGTCAAGTAAAGAAATTTAATTGATCATTAATGAAGACTCCAAAAGAATTAATAAATATAAAAAAGCAGCATGGAGTTTCCGATTATCCATTTCTTCCATCTCTTTTCTTTATTAACCTATGCAATTCCACTGGTTCATGTATAATGTTGAATAAATCGTAGGCGTTCTTATTTTAGTACCCGAACTTCATCGTAGAGTTTCTTCTCCCAGGCGTACAATCTGTCCAATGTTGACTGGTGACTGCCTGAAAACATGCATTCCTCCGGGACGTCGCTACTGCTTTCTTCTTCACGTTCCTCTTTGGAGGAGCTTGAAGAAATAGCTAAGAATCTTGATGAGGATGATCGAGATGAAGCTGAGCGAATCAGAGCTACTGGGTTCAAAATTTTCTTCACTACAAAATGATTAAAGAATAGAATTAAATTCAACATACATGAAGATCATACCAGAAAAATAAGGAAAGAAGCTACAACAAAATAAAGATTTGAATGAAAATATTGACTTTCATGGAACCATTTTTGCCAAGTGATGTAGTGAGTAGTGCAAGAGATATATATTATCAGTAAGGAATGCTAGTTATGCACTGTTCTAAACTTCATCAATCTGTTAAAAAGCATGAAGCGCTTTGTTAAATGAATGTCCAATTTCAGCTACTCAAATCTTAAGCTTTAATCGTCTTATGGATAGTGTATCAAACGACAAAGATAAAATCACTGTTCTAAACTTCATCAATCTGTTAAAAAGCATGAAGCGCTTTGTTAAATGAATGTCCAATTTCAGCTACTCAAATCTTAAGCTTTAATCGTCTTATGGATAGTGTATCAAACGACAAAGATAAAATCATACGAGAAAATGGTAGAAAAAACCTGTGAGTTCAGTGGAGTGTGAAGAGTACTGAGCTTTGCTAGCCTCTAACATAACTGAGACCTCACTAGCTGCACTGCAAACAACCATGAACTGATCATCTAGCTCCTTTATTACTTCCGCCATGCTAGTAGGCCTTCGGTTGACATAAACGGTGAATCCCGGTGTCTCATCCCTAGCTTCTTGATCACCAACAGCCATTTCTTTAGTATTAGTGGCGTCAACTTGTCTCGCTATTTGAGACCGCGATACCTCAATGCTTGTACTTCCATGGGATTGTTGAAATCCTCTAGTTTCATTTTCGGTGACTTCCTCTTCTCCTTCTTCCTCTTCCTCTTCCCCGTCGTCGTCTTCCTCATCGTCTTCATCAACATCCTCAACAATAACTTCTTCTCTATTGCAGCAATCCACATCAACTTTAGCTCTTTCATGCGTTACATTACTCATTTTGATATCGGATTCGTCTATTTCAATATCATCTTCTAAGTCAGGAATACCTTCCTCTTCTCTAAGCTGCCTTAGTCCTCGAATGTCATCATCCATCACCGTCTGTTCGAGACTAGCTCGATTCGGATAGCCATAGTTGTCCAATGAAGAAAAGGGGTTCCAAAAAAAATCCCATTGAGAGGTTTGGGGTGAAGGGGGTGGTATATTAGCACTAGGCCTGTTTGGGGAGTAAGAAAAAAAAGAAGAAGGATACATTGGTGAGGAATGCATCGGAAAATACCCATCAAAACCATATTGGTATTGCATTGGGGGAGAGTAAGCTTCAAGTCTAACTGTTTCTGGTGATTGAGGCCTTTCTTCGACAGAAACCGCGGGGTTTCCACCCGATCTTAGGTAGTTCACTTTAAGAGTCGAACTCGGGGTTTGGGATTGGATTTGAGCCGGGGAAAAAGACTTTGGTGAAATTGAGATAAAACCAGGACTTGTTTTCTTTATAGGGGGTGTAAAAGTTGGTGTTATGAAGGAGTCTAATAAGAAATCATGAGGCTCACGATCTCCTTCAATGTACTCACGTAGAGCAGCTGAGACCTTTTTCAGAGACTGAATATAAGCTAAATGTCCTGAGGCAAACCTAGCTCTTTGCTCAACAGCTTGCTTGATGAATCTCTTCCTATCTTTACAGAGTTGAACCGCTTCTTCGTCGTCGAGTTTCGATGTAGAACATCCCATTATTCGCCCCACAAACTCTTCAACCTTTTGCCGATTTCTTCTATGAATTTCTCAGACTCAAGTCAAAATCAAAATCACAAGGGCATTCTTGTGTGTTTCTCAGCAGATTCATAAGGAAAATAATGAGGCTTATCAAGAAAGAAAGGGAGAAAAAACAAAAAAGACGTTAGATAATAACTTCAGTCCAAGTTTTAGAATTAGGAAACATGAGCAGTGCAAGAAATATTAAAGGAAGCAGTAAGGAATCTTTAAAAATCAATATCATGAAATAGTTGAATTTTTAAAATTCTTGAAACCCTTTTCTTTTCCTAGATTTTCATATAAGAAAATGTTGTTTTAAAATGTTTTGGGGTGCTTTTCTTCAAGTCAAAGAAAAATGTTATGGGGAACAGCTCTTGTTCACATAGGAGGAAATAGAATTGAACAACTTGAAAAAGGAAAAAAAAAAAAAACTGAGAGAGAGAGAGAGAGAGAGAGAAGAATAAAAGAATACAACTTCGGAATAAGGTATAACCGGCAAGCCTCCCGTGAACCCACAAAAGGTAAAGAATAATTCTTTCATATTGTTTGTACTACAATCTTTTTTAGGCTGAAAATAAAAATGAAATAAATTGAAAGTGAACTGCATAAAACTTGTAGAAATATTATAGGATCAGTTTAATATATGATAATTCTCATCTTGTGTAACTTTCAAGGTAGAGAGAGAGAGAGAGAGAGAACAAGCCAAAAGAAGATTAAAGGTTAAAAGAAAATTGTTAAAGTAAACGAGGAAGAAAAATAGGTAGAGAGACAATATGGTAAGTAAAATCTGACATATGGGAATTTTTCTCTTGAAATTTCAAAAAGGATAAAGACCAGCCATAAAAAAACATAAAACCATGCCAGAGAGAATGAGAAAAGAACTTTCACTACCTCTAACTAAAGCAACAGTCTAATAAGAAAAAAAAAAAAAGGAAATGAATTCACAAAAAAAAAGGAAATGAGAGAGAAAAATAAGATTGAGAGTGAAGTAGAATTTTGTGGATGATAAAAGCTAAAATAAATACAATTGATAATAATGATAATAATAATAATAGTAATAGTAAAAAATAATAATATGAAGAAAATGAAGTTATTTACTGAAAGAAGAACAGAAGAGGAAGAAGAAGAAACAACAACCCATTTGAGAATCAATGTCCGGCAAACAGAGAAAACAAAAAATGATCATTCACTAGAAGAGAGAAACTTAAGAAAAACCATAATGGAAATTAAGGAATATCATAATATTTAATAATTCTGATCAATTCTTTACACACTAAACCGACAGAAAATAGAATTAAATAAAAACACTAAAAAAATTCAAATGAAGAAAAAAGCAGAGCAAGAGCAACCATTTTGTAAAAGGAGAAAAAAAAAAAACAGCACGGAAATATTCGAAAATATTAACATGTTATTTTATATACAACGTTATAGCTTGAATAAAAATCAAAACTTTTGGAAACCCCATTTCGAATTTTACGTCAAAATAGACAAAGAAAACAAACGGTATTAAAATGTGATGCAAAGAAGAAGAACATATATAACAAAGAGAAGTTCAAGTTCAAACAACAATCTATATCTGTAATGATTGTTGTGAAAATGATTCAAAGAAACAAAATGGAGGGGAGAGAGAGAGAGAGAGAGGAGAGAGAGACAGAGAGACAGAGAGAGGAGAGAGAGAAGCGTACCGGAAGATGGCGGGCGTGAATAAGAAATGGAGGGGAAGAGCTTGATCAGAGAGAGAGAGAGAGGCGGAGAGGAGAGAGAAAGAAGAGAGAGAAACAGAGCCGTTGAGGAAAAAGCAACGGTCAAAAGAAAGGAAACAAAAAAAAAAGCATAAAGAAAACAAAAATTAAAGTCACTCAGGTTGGAGAACTCAAAAGAGATAAAGCGAGAGAACAAGATTAAATGAAGCGAATATGACAGGCGTTAATATTTGTCCTTCATGTTTATCGAAATTACGAATAATGCCACTATTCACACTAACTGAAATTATGGGATTTTTTTATTTTTATTTTTTTTAATGACGATGATACCCAAGTGAAACGAAGGAGATGTTTGGTTGGAGGATTCAAACCATGATTTAAATTATGGTTTATGGTTTACTTCTAATTATATGATTCTAATCCATGAACCAAACGTCTCAGAAATAAGTGCAAGACTTGCATACAAAATTGGTATATTAACTTTTAGGTGTTATGAAAACTAAGAAAATGCAAAATTAAAAAGAAAAAAATGAGGGAGAGAGAGTTTTATTAATCTTGTAAAAGTATATCAAAATGAAGAGATTTAGCGCTTATTTATAGAAAAATTTTCAGCACTATTCACGGTTACTATTTGTATAGTATTTATTATTTATCTATGCGATTTTACGTGTTGCACTACATGCTGTCAGAAGGTATGTGGACAATCCACAATAAAAGCCGTAATGCTTGACTTTTTTAACACTCTCTCTTAAATGTCCACTTCTTATGATGCCTCATTAAAAACATTGTTAGGGAAAACCCGATGGGATAAAAACCATAGCACAGGGAAAAATAATACATCATTTATCTATACGTGTTTATGCTCCACGTTAAAAATCTTATCAGAAAAACCCAGTGGGATAAAATCATAATAAGAGAAAAAGAGTACAACCACGTAAACTCTCCCTCAAGTTGACATGTATAGGCATTCCTCATAAATCTCACAAATGACGCATCCCAATGTTGTGGAAATGTTTTTTAAATGTTGTAGTGGGAAGTGCCTTTGTGAAAAGATGTGCTTCATTGTCACTTGATTGAATGTATTGAATATCAATATTCTTATTCTTTTCGAGCTCTAGGGGGTATGAGAAGAACTTCGGGGGTATGTGTTCTTCCTCTATTTGAGCGACACATGTTGCATTATCTTCAAATAATACTATAGGATCTTTACTGATAGATAGTCCGCAAGTTTCTTGGATATGTCGAATCATAAACCTCAGCCATACACATTCTCGAATTGCTTCATCGAGTGCAATAACTTCGACACGATTTGAAGAAGTGGCAACAAGTGTTTGCTTTTGTGAATGCCATGAAACAACAGTACCTCCACATGTGAACACGTATCCAGTTTGAGACATGGTTTTATGTGGATCTGAAAAATATCCTGTATCTGTAAAACTAATCATCCATTGTTTTGATCCTTTAGGATAAAATAATCCCAAATCAAATGTTCTTTGAAGATAACAGTTTATATGCTTAATCCCGTTCCAATGTCCTCATCTAGGAGATGAGCTAAATCTTGCTAATAGATTTGTAGCAAAAACTATATCTAGATGGGTACAATTAGCAAGATACATAAGAGCTCTAATTTCACTTAAATATGGTACTTCGGCACCAAAGACATCTTCATTTCCATCTTAAGGACGAAATGGATCCTTTTCCTCATCAAGTGGTTGCACCATCATCGAGAAACTCAATGATGTGCCTTTTTCATATAAAATAGTCTAGAATCTTTTCTACATTAGTTGTTTAATGGATGAAATATTCCATAAGGCAAATGTCATTTTTTTAGATCCTTCATCTTCAACTCTTTCTTTATATATGAAACAATTTCTTTGAACTCTTCAGGAGTCATAATAATATTTAAGTTATCAATATTATATACAACAATGAGAGCTAACAAATCCGGATTTTGATCGTCTCATAAAAAATACATGGACAAATAATATTGTATATGAAACCTTCCTTTGAGAGATATATGCTAAGATGATTATGTCTCATACGTCCGGATTACTTTAGTCCATACAAAAATCTTTGTAGCATTTCCTGAGATATTAAATTCATTGCTCCAGGCGTCTTAAATCCTTCATCAATTTCATATAAATGTCACTATCTAGTGATCCTTATAAATATGTGGTTACCACATTTATTAGACGCATATTAAGTCCTTTAGAGATAATCAAGCTAATCACATATGTAAGATAATTGCATCCTTCACAAGAGGATATATTTCTTCATAAAAATCTATTTATATCCCACAAGTTTCACAGCTTCAGGCGTGATGACAATTAATCCAAATAGTTTACGCGCAAATTTAATTCAGCTAATATAGCGTCTTTCCATTTTGGCCAATTATTTCTACATCGATACTTTTCGACGGAATTTGGTTCAAGATCCTCTCTTTCTTTCATTATATCAAGCGCTATTTCAAATGTAAATACATTGTCGACAACAATCTTATCATGGTTCCATTCTTTACACGTACTGACATAATTTATTGAGATTTTAACATTTTCAGTATTTCAGGTACCTAAACCACTTCAAGGGTCTTTATGTCAATTATTAGTTCTCGCAATATGACCTCTTTAGGAGCGTCAATCTCTTTAGGAGTGTCATTTTGTGTAACTTTTCCTTTTTCTCTTCCGCAGATTTTTTATCTTTTTGGAAGCGATTAGTCTACCACGTTGTAGGCGTGCATTAGACTCATTTGCTGCTATATTTTTCAAAATTTTCCCGTCAGGGACATCAATATAAGCTGGAACATTAGCAGCTGATGTATGTGTACGTGACATAGTCACTTTATTTATATAAGTAAATGCATCTAGTAATTGATTCGTTGAAGTACTTTTAACTTACATTGATTAGTACGAGGAACAAAGATGCATTCCACAAAATTTCATTTTATGTTTCCAGCACTTTCGTTTCTCCCTTTATGCTGAGAATACTGTTTTATATTCAAATCACCAATCCTTGCTATAAAAATATAATCCATTAAGGATTCAAGAAATTTAATTATGCAATGGATTTCAAAACCTAACATAAATTTCTAGCTTTCTTTGAGTATCCATCTTAGTGCTTTATGGTGGAGCATTTAGAACATTTACTGCGCAACTAAAAACCATTAGATGGAACATATTTTGTTTTTGACCAAATGTCAATTGTAATGGGGAGTACTTATTATAAACATTTGATTTGATGCGAATTAATACAATAGTATGTAAAATTACATGACCCTATACAGAAATAGGAAACTATGTTCTCATTATTAAACATCTATCAATTTATTGAAGGCTCTCAATCAATTATTCAACCGAACTTTTGTGAGACCAACAAAGTGTTTAACAATAATGTCAATGGACATAACAATTACTAAAGGCTTGAGATGTAAATTCACCAGCATTATCAAGTCTAACTTTCTTGATTGTATATAATCAAAAATTGTGCTCGTAATATAATTAACTGAGTAAGAAATCTAGCAAATACAAATTGCGAGTTGATAATAGAAAAATACAAAACTTTCTACTAGATGCATATATCAATACCATAAAGTATCTAAATAGTCTGCATGGTGTATGTATGAGTCACTTATATTACCTTGATTATTTTTACTTTGAATATGTTTAAGAAATGTAGGTGATTCTGTCTCAATTTTAGCTGGTGAAAGCCTTATGATCAATTTACCCAGAGAACAAGCTTCACGTGGAATTTTACTGATTTGAAAGATCTTCTAGCCTTTCAATGAATGCCCATATGGATTTTAATTATTTTTCATATGATTATTGAACCAGAACGATCGAAATGATCATGCCATAAAATTAACGTCAGAGGTTTTTTTTTTTTTTTTGTAATTACCATATGTGATTCAATCACACTTATATATGCGTAATGCAATTGTGAAGAAACAAATTGTAGTTTTCTATTGTGCACTTCTTAGTAGTAAGATACATATATTTCATGCTACTTTCAATCAGGTCTACAAGACATTATATTTAAGGATATTGTGGGTTGTACCACTATCTTGTATGTAAATATCCTTGACATTAATAAAACTTGAGAATCCGAGATTAATCCACAGAGAAATTAATTTATGATTATAAGATCACAAATAAGTATACAACTGAATTTAAAAAGAAATGAAAACATATGCTATAATACTCTTCATAAGTACGGTACTATTCATAGGTTCTATTCACAAGTACGTTACTGTTCGTACGTGTAATACTATTCTCAGGTATTATTCATCGATTCCTTCCATATCATGTTTTCACACAAAGAGATAGCAATATCATAACATTTCGTGAAATTATTCAAAGGTCATAACACAACATTCATGAAAATCAAGTACAATATCAATACGTTCGAGCACATTTATATATATATATATATATCTAAATATTACCAATAATACTTTCAACAAGATCATTAGTAAATCTGTGATGTTAAGATGAATTAAGTAATTGATAGGGTCGTGGTATTCATTAAATAATAGAGTACATTTACATACCTTTCACTTGAATTAATAAGGACACCACAAAAGAATGTCACTCTCTTTATTAGTAAATTCTTTTATCTTAATACTTGATATAATTAATAAGCGGCCATAGCTTAATTTGACCATAATACATTTACCAAAAAAAAAAAAAAAAAAAAAGAAGAAGAAGACCATAATGCACCAATACATGGAGTGGTAGAAGTTCTGAAATAAATAAAAAAACATCAAATATATTTATATTATAATGCCTGTACAATTAAAACAATAATAATAATTTTCAGAATAATTATCTTAACTGTGTAAGAGGTGTTGCATCCGTTTAAAAATGTAACTTCACTTGGATCAAATTTGATTCAAACAACAAAAATAAAATTTAGAGATTAATTGTATAGAAAAATATTAATAATTAATTTTAGAGAAGTAAAAAATATTTAGAGATTTCAAATAAGAGAAAAGTGTAAAATAAAAATAACTTAAAAATCATAACCACCATTCAAAATTT